GCAGAACAGAACTTTGCGGACGCACCATGATATATCTTCACAGAGACCTCGACATCCCTTACATAAGGCACTACATCAAACAACAGACGCAGTTACATTATAGTCAAGCGAACTCGTTCAGCTCTGTTACGTGAGTCAGTAAACGACATAGTCGAGCATATTTGCAAGTACACAAGACCGCGACTCGCACTGTGAACAAAATTGAATCGTCCAAATTTAAGTCCAACCAAAATTACAATTTTTCTACAACAACTTTTAGAACAATTTAAAATTCTCGAATACTAGGTAACAGTGCCAAGGCACTCCTCAAACTCACGCTCTTCCTCATCTGTGTACTCCCTTATTCCTTGATTTCTGTCTTCTTCCGTTCTTTTTTTCTGACTTTTCTGGTATCTGGGCTACCAGACCTGACAAACCTACTGACTGACGATACTTCAGACGATCATATGTTCTATAGACCGCTCTGACAGACAATGACTAATAGAAGCTTGTACAGGCAAGAGGAAGTGAAACTAGTTTTAAGTAGAACAATTCATTTACTTGGATCCCAAGAGTTTTTGGATGTCAGCTCGCATCCAGGCGCAAGCATTTGTAGCAAAAAAGTCTTATAAAAGCCTGCTGATTGTCGATATTTTTAATTTTGTTAACGTATTATGCCCATTTAAACTGTGTTGTAATTTGGTTTGCGCATTACTCCATAATAGTTATTTATTATACAAGGAAAAAAGTACTAGATTTTAGCTTGAGGCTGCGCATCGGGAGACAAAAAACCCAAAGCCAAAATCTAGTATTTTTCCCGTGTATAATACACAATTTTTTTCTGTGACTGGAAAAATGACGATTTAATATTGAAAAATTATATTATTACAATATTTAAGTCAGAAAATTATCGAAGTGAAATTTGAATTTTGAAATTAGTTGGGTATGTTGTACTTATAGCGACAATTAGACCTGCGTTGCGACGGAAACTTTTAAAGTAATCAAATAGCTGTCAGTTTAATTTTGTGATTTGATTTAAAAATTGTAAACCTAATGGTTGTTCAGAAGTTATTTTGAATACTATTGACGAATTAGTAGAAGTAGCGTCACAAAAATGATTGCCAGCTAAATCGCGGAAAAATGCAGTTCTCTGTCGGAGACGGTGTTATTGGCTTATTTTTCAGAATTGGCACAACAACAAAATCCATCAACAGTTTGGTCGAATTATTCAATGATTAAAAGTATGTTACGATCCAATAATAATGTAGACATTTCAAAATATTTCAAACTAATTACATTTTTGAATCAAAATGGGATGGGTTACAAGCCCAAGAAAACTGCGATTTTCACTAGTACACAAATTAGCGATTTCTTATGTAATGCTCCCGATGAACTTTATTTAATGGCCAAGGCCATAGTTAAGGAAACAAACAATGTTGTGAACGGGCGATTTGTAGTTACTGAAAAATATATTAAATTTTACCGCCCTTCGTCCAGCAGCAGCAAAGAATCGCCGCCTGTTTTATGCATATCACAATGGAAAATGTATCAATCAGGTTATGGGTAAAAACCAGTTTTATCAGGTTCCCGGAACAGTGGCTTATTTTCTTCAACTTAAAAATGCTGACTCATATACAGGTGATTCATTTCGAAGATCGTCTGTTACTCTCTTAGTTGAATCTGGGGGAGACTTGATGTTTAGAATGTGTGGTAATGCTGAAGTAACACCGGATTTGCGACCAAGTACATCAATGGGAGTTGTGATGGCAGAAAAACATATAACTTCAACACAAGAAAATTCGACTGTTGTACCAAATAGTTTAAGTGACGTGTCATTCATGCAATGCACATTTAATAATTGTGCTTTTGATATAACGGAAATGTAACTTTATTGTGTAATAAAATATTCTAAAATTAAATATCTACCCTTGCGTGTTACAATATCCGGGAGAAAAATACCCCGGGATAAAAGGAATTTCATAAAAAGTGACATTTTGTTCCCTGTCAACAGAGATAAAATGACAAACTTTATTCCCGTCACAGAAAAAAATGATTTGGACATACGGCTGGTTAACTCTTATATGGGGTCTATAGATCTGAACTTACACTTAACAGGTCTGTAGGTCAGTTACAAGTGATAACGCTTGTGGACATGACAGAAACGGTTAAATAAACATGAATAAAGTCCTTTGATAGCCGGGTTAGTGGAAGGACTTGATTCAGACTATATGTGGAAGTTAGTATTAACCTAAAAATTTTTGAAATGGGGCCATATTTGATAAATAAGAACTTAACTGGCGTATGCACATATCTCCTTGCACGGATCAGAATCTAACCTTCCTTGGATCTTAGACAATCAAGAAAACCTGCTACATCCAATCCGAATTTGAGCCTCAGCCAGAGAATGTGTATATGGTGGGACAGCATTCTGAGGAAAACGGCGACGATGTTTGGTAACACATATTATACCAGACCTCATATTGGTTTTGGAGATGCAACTCTACTGATCTAACGCCCTACTATTAACTATTTTTGTCGACATAAGTTTTTTGTATGGAGCAATATAATCCAAAAAGACCATATTCAACAAGCAATGATTCATTTTTTGCGCATAGAGATACGTTTTATAGGAACTGAATATATACAGTGGGATTACGTTGGCAGGAGGGTTACGTTTTATAGGAATTGAATATACACACTGGGATTACGTTGGCAGGAGGAATACGTTTAATAGGAATTGGATATACACAATGAGATTACGTTGGCAGGAGGAATACGTTTTATAGAAATTGAATATACACAATGGGATTACGTTGGCAGGAGATATACGTTTCATAGGAATTGGATATACACAATGAGATTACGTTGGCAGGAGGAATACGTTTTATAGGAATTGAATATCCACTATGGAATTACATTGGCAAGAGATCATAAGTGGTGATAGACCATAACCATTGGTTAAAGTTTATCCAAGGTATAAGAGAAAATATTTGTTTTGGCAGACAGACAGATCTTTCCGGTAGACCTGATTTGTTCCTCATGGTCATTAAAATTGCATAGAATTTTAGCAGAACGAAAATATTCTTGTAAAGTCAAGTCTTATTTACGGCGTCATAATCAAAGAAATGTACTGGGTACAAAGAGTAGAGTCGTTTACAATGCCTTCTGAAAGGTGGTCCATGAGGAACACCTCAAAGGAAACTCGAATCTCACCCTTGTTTATAAAGTACAAGCCATACGTGGCATTTGGGGAATAGAAAGTTGCGAGGCACTCGTCCCAAAACAACTAACGAGAAGAAAAAAGAGAAAAAGAAGCAGAAAAGAGGAACAGCACAATGGGCAGATAAGATTCGAACGTACGGACGGCTGCCTTTTCTATTATTGTCAATTCCTGGCTCTTTTTCGATAAAGTCCTCCTTATCGAAGTTTAGGGTCAGCGACGGCGATACCGTAATTGAAACTTTATAGTCCGCTTGGTCATCGACTTCTTGCGGAAAAGCTCGTAAAGTACGGTTTCCCATCAAAGAAGAAATGGGGTCAATATATTCTATAATATAATGCTAGTTGACTATTCACTGAAACGAGATTTGTAAACGAAGTATATCAATAGGTCAGTCAACAAAAGCCCTATTTCGGACTTCCGTTGTCTGTCAATTTTTGAGATAACAATGTTTGGATTGATGTGGTAACTCTATTCGTCTTCAGGTGTGTGTGTGAGGGTGTCTGCGATAGGTTGAGAAATCTCGAAACTGGAGCTACTACAGACCAAAATATGTGAATTGACCTAAACATACCACAGTCCAAAAGTTGATAGTTTGCGAGATACAAGGTGTCAAAGTTACAATATAACTATGACATATACATGTGCCTTTTTGCTGAAATTATCTTCCACTGAGGGATTTAACATATTTAAAAGATTTATAACATTATATATAAAGAACCGCTGGAACATGGCTGACTTAGGGTGCGGCCTGCAGAGATGGCATTTATATCTGGTATTCACATTAAGTATAACACGTCAAGTTCTTTTAGAAGATATTGCGGAATAGATGGCTTTGATATATTAATTGTGAATGTAATCTTACTAAATTCGTATGATTGTTTAGTACTTAACCACACAATCAAAAATACTACATGTGAGGCATGATCATATTTTCTTAGATTGTTCACATATCGGTAGCACGAATTTTGTATTTTTTGCAACCGTTGTATCTTCACTCAATCAGAACATGAAAAATTAATTACATTGCAGTAAGATATTTTTGATAAGATGAAAGATTCACCTAACTTTTTATTTATATTTGTGTTCAATCTTGATCGATTAACATATAGTAGTCTTAACCTAAGCTATCAGGCTTTCATGCCTTCAATCCTAAATGTTTTGCATATTGTGAAAATTGTATTACCTGATCATTGATCTTGACTTTAATACCAGATTTCAAATAGAGAGCAGAACAGTAGCGAGTCTGATTTACCTGCATTTAATAGTAATTTGTTATATTCTGTAAATCAGCATTTATCAAAGAGCATGGTTGAACTTATCTCGTTGGAAGCTGGGGTATATTTGAGTATCGCCAGCGGATGATGGAACAGAGCAGTCTTTAATCATATTAGGTAAATCGAAAATATAAATTTAGAACATCAGAGGCGCTAGCACAAACCTTCATGGAACAACTGAACATATAGTGGAAGAAGTTGTATCTTTGATAATTACAAACTGGAGATGTTTGTTAAACTGACCAGTTGATTGATAATTTGTAAAATCTTAAGTAATGGCAGTTCGCTACCTATAATTTATTAGTGATAATGTCAGAGGCTTTACTAAAGTCTAACAAAAATAATGCTGAGGTTTAACCTCTGTTGGCTGCACGAATTATATAATCACTTACACGCGCTAGGGCTGTAATTGTACTATACGAGGGATGTCTTTTAAGTTTTGCATATGGAAATAGAACAACACGGTAGGTAGTTTTAAATAACTTTATTGTTTTTCGAAGTACCCTCCACGAATACTAACACACATCTGCATGCGCTCGAACCAATTTTCGAAGCACTTATTCCACTCGTTTGCTGGCAGATCCAACTGGAACCTTTGACCACGCAGTCTGTTTTTAATTTTCGGGAAAGTAAAGAAATCGTTAGGACGTAAATCGGGACTATATGGAGGATGGTCCAATAATTCCATGTTTTCTTCTGTTAAATACTGCCTTATTTCTTGGGCTGTGTGCGAGCTTGTATTGTCTTGGTGGAGGATGATTCTTCTTTCGGGGTTGATTTTTCGAAGCTCGGTGATGACTTTTGGTAAACAAATGGTGGTATACTAATCCGCAGTAACATTTCCTTGCTCATTTAGAGGAATTGTTGCAATATTTTTGTTAACACAAATGTCGCGACCATCTTTTTCGAAACACTTCGAGAACAGTAAATCCATGATTCATCACCACTAAAAATGCTGTACACATTTTCTGAGTTTCCGGAATTGAAACGGTCAAGCGTTTTTTGACACAAATTAACCCTGGCTGCTTTCTGCTCTTCAGTCAACAGGTGGAGTATCCAACGAGAAACTAATTTTCTTACTCCTAATTCTTCATGTAAAATTTTTTGAATTGAGGTCTTTGAGATCTTCAAGAGCGCCTCAATCTCGCGATATGTCACATGTCTATCTTCAATGATGAGTTTGCGTACAGCATCGACGTTTTCCTGCGTGACTGCCGTTTTTGGTTGCACCCACCCTGGAATCGTCGCTAAGACTCACCCGTCCACGTTTAAATTCTCCATACCAACGGGAAATTGTCGACTGATGTGGCACTTCGTTGCCGAAAACAGACAGTAACTAAGCAAGGCATTCTTGTTGCGATAATTGTCTCTGAAAGTTGTAATAAATTATGGCGCGAAAATGTTCTCGGTTGAGTTCCATTTTTCTAATGACTTGGTGACACTTAAAAATTCACTGTAGTGAGAACACTGCACGCATTGTTGTGAAACTTTGAATTTAGTTTACTAAAGAGTGAGGTTAAGATTCACTACTGATGTTCGATCCACGCGGCCTACTATGTTTCTATATTCAAAACTTAAAAGACATCCCTCGTATCCTGTTCTGAAACCTGGATGGTAGAACACTAGTCTCGGAGAAAAATTAATGCTGTTGAATGCTTATAGCCTCCTCGAGTATTCTAGAAATCACTGGCAACATACTAATTGGACGCAGTCCGTTTAAAACTGAATTCGATATGTTTCTGGCCAAATGAAACCACATACAGGATGACCCATCAAAAAGGTCGCAGCGGTACTTATGACTCTCCTGGTACATTTGGGAAAAACGCTCAGACAAGCCAATTTTGATTTCCAGATGACGTCTTTTTATCTATAGCAGTACAGTACAGGGTGATCCAAAAATAAGATATTGCATTACACTTTAGATTTTTAAATGGAAAACCTCTTTTTTAATTTTTAGATTCTCCAAGAAGATTTAGTAACTTTTGTGTAATAAAGTTGATACCTATCTTCAATCGTTATGAAACTATTTGAGTTTATAATGAAATTCTAGAAATTGTGATAATAAGGGAATATATCGCAAAAATAATAATCAATATTGTTGCCATAGCAACAAGACTTTATTTTAAATTTAAAAAAAAAGTCTCCGAGTATTAAAAAACAAAAAAAAGTTACAGTTTATACGCTCATCAAATTTAAAGTAAAAATTAATTTGCTATAAAGAGGTAGGTCAATGTGGTAATAAGTGCTGAAAGTGGTGACCATTTATCTTGCACATAGAGAAATTTATTGTCTTTCAAAAATTTTTATACCGTTGAGTGCTGAAGAAGTAGCCAGTCCACGAGTGCTTTGGGTGTTGTCAAGTGCTACCTGTCCCAAAACTACTATTTCTGCGGCTTCATTCAAAGAAAGAAGTCAGATAGATAAATAAATCAAGCATGTTTGAGTTCGAGAGAGAAGATACGCCTATGTCAGAATCTGCCCAGCAAAAGCTTAAACAATATTTAAGATTTCGACTTAAGAGTATCTAACAAATAATAGTATGTATGTGCAAATAATATGAATATTTTGTAATAATATGTGTTTATTTGTGATTGAGTATTCACTACAAACAAAAGATTTCTTATACGAATTTACTTATTTCCTGGCAGACCTAGGTATTATTATAATTTACCTGATGATTCATTGCTTAAAAAATTTAAGTGGAAGAGGTTAGACATAGTCTTAAATCAAATTTCTTTCTTATATCAGTTCTTTACACAGCGTGAAATATTGTATACATGCATCAAAAATAGAAATAAACTCAACCCTGACAAATGAAAAAAATATGTAAATAATTGTATTGGGATAAAATCGCTTCATCAAAAATGCTAAAAACACTTAAACACTTTTTGCACGGGAATTGTAGAAATATTTCGAAGTAGACCACTTTCTTTAAGAAAAGGCCTCGCAAAAATGTTTTGGTGCAGGCCTCGCATCTGCTAAGGACGGCCCTTATCACCTTAATATAATAATAATATTAATAATAAGAATAATAATAATAATAATAATAATAAATCGTCATTATTTGGGGGGCGAAGTTTAGCATAATGCTACTCTGCCACTCAACCCGCCCCCACAAAAAAAAAGAAAAACTGATAAACAATACAAAAAACAGAAATACATTTGATAGGTTAGATGTTTAAAAATGTAGGTGTATAAAAAATATGATGTATATAACATATCTGTATGAGGGAAGGAAGGCTATTCAATATTTCATGAGTTAAAAGTATAAAATTGTAACAGTTATACAAAACAAAGGAATGCAATATTGGAAAAATTTTGTGTGAGGTGACAGATAAATTTTATCAACTAATTTATATACTTCTATTCTTCTTATGTCTTTTAAATTCATCATATGATAGCAATTTTGTGGATCGAGGTGTAGCATTGTAGAAAATAATTGTATTGTAGGTGAAGCATTTACGAAAGAATGATGTCCTGTGAAAAGGCATTGTGAGTGTTTCAGTGAATCGAATGTCCCTAGAATGGATATTGCTTCTAGATATCAGCTTATTTCTAAAAAATGGCGGAATGGATGATAGCAAAAGCTTGTGGGTGTAAGTAACTAAGTGTAGCTCATGCAGTTCTTCAACTCTCAACCACTTCATGTCTTTGAAAAAATGGCTCATATGATCATATTTCTTCAAATTATTGATCAATATTGATTCGAGAAATGGAAAATAAACTAAATCGCAATAACTAATTTTGGACTTTAACAAAGATTCGCACATAATTTTTTTAGTTGTAAAATCAAGAAATTGTTTATTATTTAGATATAATTGACGTAAAATTGAAAAACAACTTTTACTGATATTATTTGCATATGGTATAAAATTTAGACATTCATCTAAAATTACGCCCAAGTTTTTCTCTGACTCACTTACTTCTATAGTCTCTCCATTTAATTTTACTTTAAAATTTCTTTTGGCATCGCTTCTAAACATTTTTAATATCTACTACAACGACTATTACTTGCCCTTGGATTAGTTCCTGTTAACTTTCAAGACCCACCTCGTATTCACTCGGATCAACTAACCGTCCTGAATAATGTTCAAACACATTTCGTTCTAAAGGAATGCGGCTTTACTCTACTATCTCCTCTCCACCGTACTTTTTATCTTCCTGACCTTAATTTTTAATTAACGAACACAAGGGGAGAAGAAATTCTATTTCATGCAGTTGAAAGTGACGGAGAAGGAAGAGCCGCAGAGAAATTAAAAAGTTTCCACTCGCATCTCTCAGCATTTAGGGTATCACAAGCGACTCGGGATGACGCCCGGCCAGATAAAGGATTTATGTGTTTTCTAAGTAAACAAGGAAGCGCTTGTGTTCCGGATTTGAAAGTTTAGATACACGGTCGTGTGCAGGATTTGCTATCTGGAAGGGTCGAACCGACTTCTTACAATGATTAATCCAATCGAAATAGGACCTCTATTGCCTATTCTATTACTGCTAGAGTGTATGGCAGTTGTCGGTTGGAACTGTTCGCTTTTGACCACTAGAGACTGACGAATCTGGTGGTATATTGGTTGTGGTCGACGCGCCGTAATTACTCCGACGTTATAATTTTTATTCACTACCAATTAATGCATGCATGACACTGGAGATCGGAGATTAAATGGGAACTACGTAGCTCACATAACAAAATGCTCTTTGCAAAATGATGTGGTTTCAAGAAGAATCTCTTTAGTAGGTCGCTGACTGCCTCTCATTTTCATCCCACAAGGTTAACTCGTTCTCCAAAGATCGGTTTTGACTCAAATACTCTTTCTATTATACGGGGTATCTCAATATTCTGTGGTCATAGATGTACCATGTAATTTTAGTCTATTGGACATTATTTACCTCTATGCAAAAGTGCGACCTTGTCCGTTAGAGGACATCAACGTTTTTTCATATATCTTTGGGACCCATAGTTCGAGTTGAATAAATTTGGAACACATGTTTTTTGCTAGACGCTCTAATACTCTAGACTTTTACAAAAAAAAGAAAGTGATCGAGAAGGGTGAAAACTGCCCCCGGCCCTACATAAATTATAGCAAATTTTTTTCACTACTTACCCAACGATTCTGATTTGTTTCTAATTTATAAGATCCCCTTAATCTACTTCATTTTTTGTCTCTTATAAAAACAGGATATTTCTCATAGTTTTAGACAAAAAATTACATCAAGATTTAAATTTTTTTGCACCCTTTTGTTATGCTGTGGAACGAAAATGGCGGTCATATTGAACACCATTTATGAAAGATTCGCACTGTTACCTGTATTAAATAAAATTATACTAAGTAATGTCATACTTATTTTCGTTAACATAAGTTAAACAATTAATAAAACGCTTGGGAACCTCTTGATGCAACTCATTTCTTTGTCTTGAAAACTATTTGAGATGGCCTGTTTCGATAGTAGACAAAAAATAAAGTAAAAAGAAAGAACTGCTAAATAAAAAAATATTCAGAGATGTCGGAAAAGTTGCCAAGAGATTCTGCTAGAATTTATGGAGGGGTGGGGGTAATTTTTACCCTTCTTGAAGGCTTCAGAACTTTTCGTGTGAGTCTAGTAAAATATACGTATTCAAAGTTTCATTCACATCCGACTATCGCTTCTCAAAATACCTTAAAAAATGTGTTTTAAAAAGAAACCTCTAACGGACAGAGGACTGACTTTGGCGTAGACGTAAATCATGTCCAATCTACTAATTTAGAGTCTAAAAACATTTTGTACTAATATGTCCACGGACTATTGAAACACTCTGTCTTCCTATAAATCTGATCCACGGCTTTGCGGATGACAGCACTCTAAATTCGAAATGTCAGACCGTTCTTGCGACTGAGGTTGACTAGCTATAGAGTTTATATATATAGATATAACAAAAGTAGGAAAAGAATGGGCAACATCCGCAAAAAAGGGGAAAGTGGGTTCGAGCAGAAAATAGGATAGGTAACCCGAGCGATACGTATTTCTGCTGGTTGTCTTCGTCACGCCCGAAATGAAACAGAGGAACAACTGTTGAATTTTTCCAGTTGTATGAAGAACTGAGATTATACCCAAACAATTTTTTTGAATACACTCGAATGCCCGTTTGACTACATCCTAAGTAAAGTATCTGTGCTGCGCATGTTTACTTTGCCAAATAGGTGGTTTAGATTGAATTGCACTTATAAACAATTCAGTGTCAGCCATTACAATACAATAATACTCATGCATACGACAAGACCGAACTGGGGTTTGGGGCCTCGGTTGGCCGCGTAGGTCAAAGTGTCGTGCTACTGATCAGCCGGTCGGCCGGGCCGCGAGTTCGAATCTCGCCTTCGCCATGGATGTTGTGAGGTCGTGTGTTTGTCCATAATTAGAGAAATATAAGTAACACACATCTGTGGCAAATGGATAACTTCCAATGCCAATTATATGTTAAAAAAAAAAGATCGAACTGGTTTGTTACCGCCTCCCGTGTGGCCAGAAAGCGCGGAACAGGAACGTTTGAAAGCTACGCGCGCTGTCTCGCTAGGTCCTACCGCACTGGGCCTCCGCCTCAGTCACTACACTATGGACTCAAAGGCGTGTTTCATAATGTCGCGCTCGCAATATGGATGCACACTATCGCTAGTTTCTTCCCATGCTCTATGTATCGACCATGTGGAAACGGTGCTAAACCACACTGGTATAGTAAATAATAACTCGAAAGATCCGGCGATGCAGTTACAGTCAGTCAGAGTTTCATTATTGAGGGGTTTTACGTCACGGGGGATTTTTTTGGAGGAAAAACAAACTCGTTGGATATTTTTGGGGTATTTATCCCATTTTTAACTACGAAAAACTGTAAAACTGTAAAATAACAATTTTATGTTTTTGTAACTTTTTATTTCCTCATGTCGCACCCATCTCCACAAAACATCTAAGCTGACCCATCTCTATACCTTTATGTCAATTGTAGGTTGGTAAACATGCATCGATAGTCATAGACCACGGAAATACAGAATAATAAGTTGTGAACTGGCCCGTTGATTTAACTATCTTCGTCTCACACGGGTGTTACAGGAAAAACAACTAGACGCTTAGTCAGCGATTCTGCACGGAATTGCTCGCGTTATAGATACACGGGTCTGTGATTTCCCACTGCCCAAGTGACAGCGAATGCGCGTATCGTTTAACGTTCATGTGCAATCGACGCTCAAGAAACAAGTTTGAAAAATAGTCTTAGTACGTTGGAAAAATTACAATTATTTTATGCCCCTCCTCACCGTGGTCTTCCAGTCAGAACTTCCCGTATACCCCCCTCCCCGACTACTGATAACTTGGGAGATTTTATTAATAAAGTTCCAGATCTGGGAGATTCTCGTGTTTGTTATCGAGGAACTCTGTAGCCAGAGTCAATCAGGCAACGACATGAAGACAGTGCTGAGCGTATAAATGTTGCGTTCCGTTGCCACCGCGACCGCGTGTCGCGTCTATATTTCTCCACATTTTAACGGCAAATGTACGGGGAAATCGATATGTGTGAAATATGTACTGACAAATGCGTAAAATTAATGGGGTTCGAAGTATTAATATACTGCTGCCAAAATAATTACAACCCCCAACCTCTGACTTACAACCCAAACAAATTTTTTTCTGAAAATGATTAGGAGTCTCTGAGACATCAAAAATAAGTTTGGTCTGTTTTTAGTTTTTTCGTGAATTTGCTCCTAGGTTCGCCACCACTGGACCGAATTTCAAAAACTGTAAAGGTTTTGCGTCCTTGACGTAGTAGTAACACTATATAAAAATTTCATCGAAATCCAAACGGCACTTCTCAAGTTATGGACGGTTACAGGATTAGCGGACAGACAGACAGGTCGACGGAAATAATGATAATAATAATAAACCGTCTTTTATTTTCAAAGAAAATTCCGTATAATAAAAAAATATATTGTATAACACCAGTGACGAAGTCTAGCTGACAGCTACTCTACTCAACTACTGGAGAGGAGCACCCAAATAAGCGAATAATAATACAGGTATGTAATTACATATGTCAAAATCAATGTGAGGTAGACAGAAAAAAAAGTTTACATATGCTGAATGACATAGAGCAACACAGGCATTCGCAGTAAAACATACACGTACAGATTATGCTTTTAACCTTTAAAAACTATATAGGGCGTACAAAGAAAGGAACAACACATTCTATAAACAGATCTAGCCACACTTTTGAAATCAATATTGCTCTTATATACACATATATACATATACATATACATATATATACGTATACATATATATATATATATATATATACATATATATATACATATACACATATACACACATATATAAGAGTTACACAATAATAAATAAATAAAAAGTTGAATATAAAACATTGCATCATTGATCCTACTGCATATCAAACAAATTAGTTTGAATTTGAACTTGTTCAAATGAGTGAGTAGTAAAAACATGGGTGGAAGACTTTTTGAAAAGCACTGTATATGGATGCTGCTCATATTTATTCGATGTACGTATCCCTGCACGGATCTTTGTACAAAATATAGGTAGACCATATTAAATATTGTGAGCTTCCACTACCTCTATAACTAAATTAAAGGAAGTACGCAAGTGCAGGTATTCATTCGGTCTGGCATTATGCTAAGAGGTTTAATTATGTTTGTGTCCGACCGTACCCAGTGAATCGTGAGAACTTCGGAGTCTCTTTCATAACAGCTTTAAAGTTTCTTAGTTCCCTGATCAAAAACAATTCTACCGGTAGAAAAATATGGGGGAACCGGAATGTTTCTGAACGAACGCTCGAAGGAGCGAACAGAAACGGTAAGTTGTATGAAGTTATGTTTCACGGGTATTTTTGCAGGAGGTAAATAAGTTCGCATCAGCACCGCCGGTGATTTAATGAGGTCGAAAGTTTTCTTATATAGTCCAGGAAATAAACACATTTGCGACTGCAAAAATTGTTTTAACACTACATTAAAAAAGTAGATAATAGATATTTCCCCTAGGGCGGGCCCCTGTACCGTTGACTCTGTATTATATGGAAATCCATCATTGTCAAGTGTGAATAGTAGCTTGGATATCTACCTCTCCGCGCTGTAGTGGAGCGCACGGGTAGCTCGAATTAAATGTTGCTTGTTTATCACAGGGTCGTGTGACATTAGCCTTATGTATTTTGACAGTGTAAATTATTTTCTGCAATTAAGCCTCAATGCCTGTATATTAAGCCTAATGTTTTCATCCGTCCGACAGAAAGACAACCAATCATGGTTTGCTTCTTAGCTACTTATCAGCTTGGTCTCTCGTCTCAGTAAGAACTAACGAAAGCATCGCAACTACGTTCTATCCCGGAAGTACAGTCTGTCGAAATAAGACAGCGCAAAGTGCCATCTATCATTACAATCGACCACTGGGGAGAGCGAATAGCTGCTATTTGTTGGAACTGTAAACATCTCAGTTCACGTTTAATAGCCCAGCCAGAATCGTCAGCCATCTAGCGGTCACATGGTGACAGTTCCAAAAAATAGCAGCTATGCGCTATCCGCAGTGTTCGATTCTAGTGATAGATGGCGCTTTGCACTGTCTTATTTTGAATTTCCATATATATTTTTTAAATGACAATATCCTAGATTCGCCTTTCATATATCGTTATAGATAGACAAAGATGACATTTCATGATCAGCAGGTCACGTCAATAGACTTCAAACTTGAAGTTGTGAAAAATATGTAGACTTTCATTAAAATCTGCCTTTTTTCGCAAGGGTATTACGTAACTTGAAAAGTGACATTATGTCGAGTTTTTTTTTGACCTCATGTAGGTTTTTTATCACATTACAGGTATGTTTGTTTTGCTACAAAATGTCAACTTGGAACTAGCTGTCGTTCACTTCATGCAAGCGCGGAATGAACTATTTGCACACTGGCCTACTTAGTCAACAAGTCGACACCTTATAGGTTTTTTTGACATTATATAGCTTTTTACATAATAACTGTGCCGGTCATCTTTTGTCAGTTTAACGCCCTACCACATAAGCGCCGCCTATTGGGAGCAAAATTGGATACCATCGGTTCATTTAGATGTTTAATATTAGATATACAACGGCACTCCTTAACACTATCCGCTATCTTTCTTATGCTTGGAATTTTTAACAACTCCATGCTGATATTTATATATTTTTATTGAATACTGAGTACACTGCGGAACGAAAAGGAGCTACTATTGTTAATGATCTTTATTTGTGGTTGCATTAGACATACAGAGCATGCACTCCTTTTTTGAGTAATTCCTGATATTGAGATTATCGAAGAATGAGGAATCAATGAAAAAGTTTCCACCAAGAGGTAATTCTTAAAACGAGGGAATAGAATAATTGATTGAAAGTTGGTGTGATTCTATCACCTTTCGGGGATCTGCGTTGTTTACGACTAATATAGTTGCTCCTTGAGCTATTCACGGGATAAGAAGTGTGAAAGTCTCCCCGTTTCACACACGTTCATATTTGTTTTCAAGGATTTAACACTTGGGACTTTAAGCTAATAGAAAAAAGATACCACACACGGTGGCAAATAACTGCTACACCTTTGTAAGGGATTTTCCTTAGCAAAACCATGACAGAACAATCTGCAGAAAATACATTTATATTTCTTTTTTTTATAATACAACATCGGTTTTCTCACGAAGTATCCTAACCATTTAGTAAATTTTCCAGGAGCGCAAGAAAACGAAATCAGCGTG